ATGAAATCCTGGTGGCCAGCCTTGACCTCCTGCTAGGGGCTATTTTGTTTCCTTATATCCCCTTTTCCTGCTCAAGTCTGACTCCTGGTCTGCACTGTGCTGCTGGTCACCCTCCTGCTGCCCCTGAATCCAGGATTTCTTAACGCCAGGGTCACCCACTCTACCTGTGTGCCAGGCCCTCTGTGAGGACACAGGTTACCTGATGTAATACCTACAGTGCGTTAGCAATGTGAGTTAAGGCAACACCACAGCAAGTTTTTCCTTAACCTCTATACTAACATCACTACCACTCGCGTGTATTCTGATTCTCTTTTTTGAGTAGGAGAAACGGGTATAGGTAGACAATCTGCGGGAGTTACATGAGTACAGAAGACTCTCATCATCTCTGCGGTTGTCATTAGTTGGTACCATCAGAGTATAAAGAAGTTTACAGATCTTGGCTTTGGGTTATTGCGAATTCCTTTTTGACAATCTGCTTCTCTTTATTCCTGCTCTACTTTTAATCCACCCAGTATACATTCATCTTTGATATTAAGGTCCTCAAGGTATTTCTCTCTTTTTTTTTTTTTCATGGAAAGGCATTTTATTTTAAATATAGCAGTGTGTCAATCCCATGTCAGTCCCAAACTCCCAATCTATCCCTCCCCCAACCCTTCCCACCTGGTAACCATAAGTTTGTTCTCTAAGTCTATGAGTCTATTTCTGTTTTGTAAATAGGTTCATTTGTAACTTTTTTTTTAATTCCACATATAAGCAATATCATATGATACTTGTCTTTCTCTGTCTGATTTACTTCACTTAGTGTGATAATCTCCAGGTCCATCCGTGTTGCTGCAAATGGCATTATTTCATTCTTTTTAATGGCTGAGTAATATTCCATTGTATATACGTACCACATCTTCTTTATCCATTCATCTGTCAATGGACATTTAGGGTGCTTCCATGTCTTGGCTATTGTAAACAGTGCTGCAGTGAACATTGGGGTGCATGTACCCTTTCAAACCATGTTTTTCTCTGGATGTATGCCCATGAGTGGGATTGCTGGGTCATATGGTAGCTCTGTTTTTAGTTTTTTAAGGAACCTCCATACTGTTCTCCATAGTGGCTGCACCAATTTACATTCTCACCAACAGTGTAGGAGGACTCCATTTTCTCCATACCCTCTCCAGCATTTATTGTCTGCAGATTTTTTAATGATGGCCATTCTGACTGGTGTGAGGTGATATCTCATTGTAGTTTTGATTTGCATTTCTCTAATGATTAGTGATTTTGAGCATCTTTTCATGTGCCTCTTAGAGACATTTCTCAAGGTATTTCTCTTGACTTTCATTAGATACTTGTGTCATGAAGTCTGCCAGGTTTTATAATCCTGGCTTATCTTAGTTTTCCGGTTGCACATAATTCTAGACTTCTGCTTGGTTTTTAACTGCCCACCCAAAGTAGACCTTATGACAGTACCTTTCTGGTGTGTACCCTTTTGTACCTTTCTCCACATTGATACAAAGTTACACACATAGATGTACATCATACACATATGGGGTTTTGTTGGTTTTTGAAAAAAAATGGATTTACATTTCTTATGCACTCACTATACATATTATGCCACAATTTATTTATAACAGTAATATACCATGGACATTGTCTTGCTAATACATAAAGCTATAACTCAGTCTTTTAAAACTGCTCCTCTGTTTCATGATATAGATTTAACCTTATCTCTGTGGATAGACATTTATGTTGTATACAGTTTCTGCCTGGAAAAACAATGTTGCAATAAGCATCATTGTACAGATTTGAATGTAAAGTTGTGGCAGAATTGTAACTGGATCACATGCTAAACCATCTGTTAATGTTCGCCATACTTGTATAGAGTTTCTAATTGCAGTCACATAATACATACAGTGAAGCTATCTAAACTCTATAATCAGAATTTTCTTTGCATGAATGTAGTCTCAGTTCCTTGTCTCTGGACTCTCTGTCTCTGCTGTTCCCATTGATTACCATATTTCTAGGGGATTCTTAAGCAGATGGGTACATGGGGGTGGAGAGTAGGTAGTAACATGGCTGGGGAATTTGAGGGAGGAAAAATTCCGAGTTACCAGGCGGTGAACTACCTGTTAAGAAATACTGAAGATTAGTTTAACAGTTAACAAAAGCTGAAGCTATGGAAAATTCTTCAACACCAGAGTCAAAAGAAGTCTTCATAACCATTAAGGTCATCCTTTCTTTTGCCTTCCTCATGTTTTTGCTTGAGTTGAGTTAAAAAAAAAAAAAAACTTCTCTCAAACTTGACCTATACAAATCCCATCCATCCTTCAAAACCCCAAATGATAGTAATTCCTTTAGAAGCCATAAACCTGGGATTTAAGATTATGGCTTCTGTGGTAAGAGAGGCCTGTATTTGAATTATAACTCTACCACTTAATATCTGGATACTTCTGTGAGTTTACTTAAATTCTCAAAGCTGCAATTCTTCATTTACGGCTTGCTTTTATTTTAGATCCCAGAAAAGAGGTTCAGGAAGAATAGTAGAGTAGATGGTAGGAGAAAAGCCAGTTGCTCAGAGAGCTTCAGGTGTTTGATACTCTAGAGGTATTTCAGTACCTTTGAAATAGTCATTCCTATTTTTGTAAGTCTGGATATCATTAAGGCATTTTAATGATTAGAATCTTCTTATTTTGTTGAATCCCCTCTGATATAAACTTTGATTATTTAAATTAGTAGCTTTTTAACCTTTTGGGGATCTCAGATCACTTTGATAATCTATGGAAAGCAGTGGAAAATACACATACATATAGACACACCAAATTTACAGGAAATTGCAGGGAGTTCAAGAATTGTTGAACCCATTTGAAGTGTTTTAAAGAGCTCTATGGCTTTAAAAAATGTTTTCACAGAGCCAACATAACATTCTCTTTAAGCAAAACCCCTTTAAGGAAATTGAGTTATATCAAATGCTTTGTGCATCAAGATACAGAGTAAATAAACGAACAGAAAAATAAGCAAAATAAGTCAGGTACATACATAAAACTCTCCAGATACACAGACACTCACACGTGAAAATGTGTGCAATTATATCAATATTATGTTAACAGCCTGGGGTAAGCTGGTTGTGCGGCTGAGGCAATATATCAACCTGCATTTTATTAAACTAAATTATAGCCAGCATTCCTGAATTTGAATATTCTAGCAATAACACTATCAGTCTTTAGGTTTTCAAAATTAAAAAAGCAAGCATTTCTGTATTCTTTCAGAGTCAATTTTTACCTAGGGAAATTCTGATACTTTTCATGGCGGTCTCTGTAGCACATTCGACATCAAAATTCAGAAAGTATCCTCGGTGTTTATGTCCCTTTACTCTTATAGAAGGAAGTCACATTTCTGTTTGACATCTTTGTTTATTAGCCCTCACAGTTGCCCCTAAATGTTTCAGATCGTTTTCGAATTTCTCGATTTATAATTACAGTTCTCACTAAACTGAGACATGTTAGTCGCTTTAGATGTTTTATGAAAACACATTAAGAACCCTAAGTTCCTTTGAAAACAAGATATCACATGTGTCAAAATATAACTCTCAAAATGTTAAACACAATTCTCATATAAATAGGTACATGTCACGATTTCATTTAGCCCAAAGCTGATTCAAAAAACGAGGACAGGGCTTCCCTGGTGGTGCAGTGGTTGAGAGTCCGCCTGCCGATGCAGGGGACACGGGTTCGTGCCCCGGTCCGGGAGGATCCCACATGCCGCGGAGCGGCTGGGCCCGTGAGCCATGGCTGCCGAGCCTGCGCATCCGGAGCCTCTGCTCCGCAACGGGAGGGGCCACAGCAGTGAGAGGCCCGTGTACCGCAAAAAAAACAAAAACAAACGAGGACTATATATTTATCTCTGTATCCATAGCTCTAGCACTTCTGTATCTCTACATATAAATCTTGGTACCAGTCCTGAGTAAGACCAACTTTTCCTCTATTAATTATTTAATTGGCAGAATGCATTCATATAAAAACTCCATCTACCCAAGATTTCTAATAACGGACCTTTTTGTCCCCGTAACTTTAGGCCCATGGTTCTAAAACTTTAGCATACATCAGACTCACCTCAAAGATGGCTGAGTGTCACTCCCAGGGTTTCTGTAGATCTGGGGTGGCACCTGGGAATTTGTGTTTCTAACAACCTCCCAGTTGATGCTGCTAGTCCGGTGTTCATACTTTTGAGAAGCACTGATTTAGGCAGAAGCTTTGCCTGAGGATCACGTGGGGCAGATTAGACTTCCAGAGAAATCAGTGCAACCCCGATTCGCTCTCTTCTTATCTCTTCTGTGTTCTTCCCATTTCCTTCCCCTGTCCCCCTCTGTACACACAAGATCATGCACACCCAGCCTCACTCCAAGGATTCTCCTTCTGTTTGAACGTCTCAAATCTCTCGTAAGGGTCAAACTCCCAGTGTCCTCCCGCAGAGACCTGGCCTCCCGCGGAGACCTGGCCTCCCTCGTCATTTGTTCCATTTCTGTCCGTGATCTCAATTTCGCTATGAGCCAGGGCCAGAATGCTCCAAATCATGTGTTGTAAACTAGAATGTGCATTTCATGTTTTTAAAAATTATTAACGGCAGAGATTCTTTTAGTAGGGGACATTTTTATGCCTATGTGGAGAACCGAAATACAAATGACAGCCAGCTGCCACTAGTTCCTCAGCTTCATAAAGGGAAAGAGAGTCTCCAAAGGAAGTACATGTCCCAAGTTGTATAATTTATGAATGTTTAAAGGAATGATTGTAAATCTCCTGGAAACTCGATATGGGAGTTGTTATGTGAAATCATTCATTTCAAAGCAGAGTCCCCGTGTGTCCTTGCAGTGAAAAGTATGCTTCCGTCTCTCGCCAGCGCTTTGTGTAGTAAAGGATGCTCACTCTTAGAGATAGGTGATGGGGCAGAATGTGGAGTGAGGGACGCCCCTCAGGTCATTCAAATGGAGCCACCAGGATGTGTATGTCTCTTTCCAGGACCACGAAACCTCCTTCCCCAGGGCGCTCTCAGCTCAGAGACTCTCCCCACGGTGGTGCTTTCTAGATGGTGAGTGTTTCTGTATTTCCTGGAGGGGTGGGGATTGGGGAAGCCACAAGGGCAAGGTATTGATGGATAGAGTGGACTCTAATTTTCCAAAAGACTATTCAGAAACCCTTCACGTGGCCCTTCACGTGATTGCTATTTGCATCTCAAACGATGTGAACTTGCTGATGTCGCAACACACTTTCCTAAAGTTATCTCCCTCAAAGCAAGTTGGTTAATCTGGCCGAACTTCTCAACATCAGATTGCTCAAGGTGATTATTTCCCTTTCATGCCCCTTTTCCAAAAACGTGTTGAGTACTTGTCTTCAGGCCAGTAGATTGATTCCATAAAGCACGAGGACGGGTACTCATTGGTATGTCGTTTGCATATTATGGAACTTCCATATTATTTTCAGTAAACCATCATTTCAGGATGAGGTATAAATTTTTGTGAAAGGGTAGGCACTTTCAGTTGTGTTCACATCTGCTCTGCTGTTATTGAATGTATAGTAGGTCGGTCATCTTCTGATTGGTTAATGAGCCCATTTTCCATCTCTTTCTCCCTAAATGCTGCCTAATCCCACTTTTCTATCCAGTTACTCATTTTACAGTACATTCCTGCTTAGATACTCCCAGTGTATCTACTACCCGGCATCTCTCTTGTCTGTGTGGGCATTTAGCTTTCACTGTAGACCTTTCTTTTGTTCAGCTTTGTGTGCATCTGAAAGGATATAAATGTGGATAAGAGAATGACAGGATGTGTGAGGGTGTGAATATTTTTTGAAGATGAGCACCTGTATCGATATCAAATCTAATCCACGTACATCATGACATCGGTTTTCATTAATGGCTTGTCAGCTGCCTCTGAAGATAATCTATACTGCTTTTCTTCCAGGTCCTTTATTCCCTAGTGATGAGAAGCGCAATCATTTGTTCTTCCTGAATCCACAGAGGAACAACTTATATTTAAGAAAATTACAAAAATGTATATGAATTGTTCTATATAGTCTATTTTATATACAGTCTTAGATAAAATTACAAGTGTGGTTAATGGTCTAGATATTAGTTTTACTCTAGAAATAGTTTCGTTAAGAACATTTAACAGGTGATTACAGTCATGGTTAAAAGAACAAAGTAGACAAAGTCCTTCTCAGGCAAATTTTACTCTGTTGCCTGAGTATGAGGGCAAGAACCATGATTGTCTTATTTCTTAGCTTATTTCCTTTGGAGAGAAGCTACTCGTTAAATATCTATGATTTTTGAATGATTATTTGTATTTTGAGTTTTTCCCTCTAGTACTATGTACTTTGTAGAAAATCTGTTTATAATACTGGACTCTTAGATCGATTTAAATGAGGAGGAACATAATTCTTTTGAATATTGATAATAATCAAGATTAATTTCTAGAAGCCCAAAGTTTGTCATTAAGTTGTTTTTTTTCCCCCCCTCAAACTACAGATGCAGGCAAGTCCCTTATAGGGTTGCTTAAATAATTTTTGTTTTTTCTGTTTTAGCTTTCTTCAGACATGGCTTAGGGACTCAGTTTTAAAGTGAAATGATGCCTTTCATACCACATGTGGTCCCGAGCTCTGCATCTTCAAACTGTTTTCCAAAATGAGAATCACTTCCTCAGGAAGTCAGGCTACCTACAGTATTTTTTTGTTTATTTTTGGTTTTCCTAGCTTTATTTACTTGATAAATACATATTGAGTCCCAGCTCTGTTGAGGGTTCTGTGCTGATATCTTGAGACATAAAAGAAGAAATGAAACACAGATCTTTAAAGAGGCAGATATCTTAGTCTCAGAGTTCTCTGTGAAGATAGTTTTTATCAACCATGCACAAAATGCAAATGTGCATATAGAGGTAGGAGCAACAAATTCTACCTGGGGCAAGGAGGATGGGGCTGAGGAAGGTTTCACAGAAGAGGTGGCATTTGAGTTGGTCCTTACGACATGATGTATTATTAAAAGCAGTTTATTGAGATATAGTTGATTTACAATGTTGTGTTAGTTTCAGGTGTACAGCAAAGTAATTCAGACACATATATTGGGCTGGCCAAAAACTTCGTTCGCTTTTCAGTACAAATAAGACATTTTTCATTTTCACCAAGAACTTTATTGAACAATGTATTCATTAATCGAATGAACTTTTTTGGCCAACCCTATGTGTGTAAGTTCTTTTTCAAATTCTTTTCCATTATACGTTATTACAAGATATTGAGTATAGTTCCCTGTGCTACACAGTAGGTCCTTGTTGGTTATCTGTTTTACATACAGTAGTGTTTATATTTTAATCCCAAACTCCTAATTTATCCCTCCCTCCCTTTCCTCTTTGGTAACCATAAGTTTGTTTTCTATGGGTTAAGACATGGTTTAGGTAGACACGTGTAATGCGGAAGGGCTTCCTAAGCAGTGGAATAGCGGCAGCAGAGGTGTGAAGTCCTGAGTGTTTCTAAGTAGATTTAGGGACTGACTGGGATGTAAGGTTTTTGATTGTCATCGTAGGTGAGAAGGTTGTAAATCTGGTGCCAGAACACAGGCCTCTCTGAATGCCGTATACGTTTCTTTCTCCCTAGCTACTTCTGCTGATCGCTTTTATCGAATAGACAGATCTCAGGTAAGTTTGCTTGAGCCTATTTGTGAAAGAGAAAAACTCCCCAGGAACTATACTAATCTCTTACTTTTTTTTTCAACAAAAACACTGAAATGTGTACAAACTCTGGAATGGTATTCATAGTCTCAGCTATGAGCTTGTTATTTGTCTTCACGTGTTTTGTGATCTGTGGACTCAAGGTGATATGGTTTGACCTTGAAGATGAATCCAGAAGATAGGTAGGCTTCTAGACGTTGTCACCAGCCTGCACTCCAAATCTTCATTCACACTGCTACTTTTACTGCTTCCTAGCCAAATTTTATGCCTTTTTAACTTTATTTCTGATTAGCAAATTTGAGACCTCAAGTGTATATTATGTTGCTTGGTTTCAACTCACCACTTCCCAGAGTTCAGTAATGAGAAAAAAAAATGCTTATGCCCAATGATAGCTAGTGCTCCCACTGGAAAAGAAGGTACAGAATGGAATCCACTGATAAAACCAGTTGTTAGGGCTTCCCTGGTGGCGCAGCGGTTGAGAGTCCGCCTGCCGATGCAGGGGACGCGGGTTCGTGCCCCGGTCCGGGAAGATCCCACATGCCGCGGAGCGGCTGGGCCCGTGAGCCATGGCCGCTGAGCCTGCGCATCCGGAGCCTGTGCTCCGCAATGGGAGAGGCCGTGACAGTGAGAGGCCTGCGTACCGCAAAAAAAACAAAAAAAACCCAAAAACCAGTTGTTAGCCATGCCACTTAGCTTTGACCGGATCCTGGAAGTCCAGGTCATCGTACATGCATGCTGGACCAAGTTGCATGTAGGGTGTCACTTCTTTGATAGCATTTGGGAAGAAGAAGAGGCAAGACCATCTCTGGTTATACCTAACAGTATCCTGGTCAGAGTCCCAAACCAAGAAGGATTCAACTCTCCCCTTCCTCAGCCTCTTGCTACCATGTTGTTTCTGGGAGGGATGCCCACTGGTCAGGCCTCTGAAAATACACTGTGGTCATTTGCTATGTCATAAAATTTCATTATTCCTCAAGACCAAGAATGCTTTGTTTTGTTGTTCTTCAGATGATGGATGTGAACACCTTATCAGTCATCTGACAGACTCCTTTTTCTTCCTTAGGAACACTTGCACTTTGTGATGGAGATTTCTCAAGATGAGATTTTTATTCTGGACCCAGATATGGTGTTGTCACAGCAGGCAGGGACACCCCCAGGAATGCCTGATCTGGTGGTGGAGCAAGCCTCCGGGTGAGTGGGCTTCTTCCTTGGTGGTGTGGTGGTGAGGCTGGCCGCAGGGTCACATCGTGTCTGGTTTGGCCTTGCACTTGACATTTCTAATGAAATCAAACTATTTTGAAATACAGGCTTTCTTGTATTTCCTTAGAGTGTAGTACAGCTCGTTCCATTCTAAGTCTGTCTTATGAATGTCTGGGCAGAATTACTCTTTCCACTCAGATCTGTGTCATGTCTGAGGCTTCTTTACCCACCACACCAGCATTTCCTACCAAACTAGAAAACACTAGTATTTGCGTTTGTGCATATACATCTGTAATGCCTGTATTATCACATTAAAAAATGACACAGGTGGGGCTTCCCTGGTGGCGCAGTGGTTGAGAGTCCGCCTGCCGATGCGGGGAACGCGGGTTCGTGCCCCGGTCCGGGAAGATCCCACATGCCGCGGAGCGGCTGGGCCCGTGAGCCATGGCCGCTGAGCCTGCGCGTCCGGAGCCTGTGCTCCGCAACGGGAGAGGCCACAGCAGTGAGAGGCCCGCGTACCGCAAAAAAAAATGACACAGGTGGTTTGACAATTATTTTTTTTCTCCACATCTCTTCTCTTCTTCCTCTGCTCCTCTTCTTCCTCATCCTTCTCTTTTTTCTCCTGTATCAAGGCAGCCTGATACATGTAGATATCAAGCACTTATAATTATGAGTCGCACACTGTGCTAAATGCCTTTCTCATATCCCTACTATTACTTCATAGTGACTTAATCATCTTAAGTGCTCTATGCTTATTTCCTCATCTGTAAAACGGACATGATAATACCTACTCAGACAATTGTTTTAAAATTAAATGAGTTGATACATGTAAAATTAGGGCAGTTGGTGGCACTTGGTAGACACTCATTAAAAATCATGTTATTGAAATCGTCATCATCATTTCACAATGACCCTGCAGATTTGGTACTGTTATTATTTTAAATCCATAGATAACAAAATTGAGGTTTAGAGAGTTTTTGTAACTTGACCAGTATTGCACAAAAAATAAAAGGGAGAAGTTGAGATCTATTCCATGCTAGAGCCCATGTGTATTTTAACCACCACACTGCCCCACCAAAACATATTAACATTTCTAGATTATTTCGTAAATTTAGAAATGTTTATTTAGAGAGCTTTTTTATGTGCCAGGTACTACTGTAAGCACTTGGGAAACAACAGTGCAAAAGTAAAAACACAGAAACCTTGGCCCTTGTGAAGTTAAATGAACTTTTGTAGTTTACTGGTACATAGACGCTAAGGAGTGAAAATAAGGATTTCCCCGGAGAGCACACACACGTGCACTCGAAGGGCATGTGCAAGTGTGTGCACATACTTATACACTATTAGCAGACACATTCACTTGAGGTAAGCCTCATGCCTGTTCACCCCTGTTCACTAATTCGACCACAGCTGCCATTTCTGAGCATCCCACTCCGCCAGGCCAGCTGATAGCAGTGGTTCGTCCCTAGTCTGTGCGGGGCCAAGAGAAAACAGAAGTGGCGGCTGGAACAGATTTACAGCTGTGTTTAGGAGCCGGAACGACTGATACCGGAGCTGTCCTGGCATGAAGGGAAAGCCGACAGGCACGAAGGATGGCCTGATAAAAAACCCCGGGGGTCCCGAAGGTAGTGGGAAAGCCACACACGATAAGTCAGGACTGTCAGTTGTGGGGAAAGCAGGTGTGATGCCGCGTCCCGCCGTAGAAGCGGTAGGTGCTGGAGTCTAGGTGTCCTCCCACCCCACCTGATTGGGGCCGTAGCGTTGGATCTGGTGAAGGGTGAGCCCATTTTGCCAAGCTCGTCCTGGGTTCTGCCCTCTCAGTCATTCTCTATCAGCTCTAGCTCCAGAGATAAAGTAGCCTGCAAATCCACGAGAACTTGAATCCGTTCCTTTCTCATTTCTTTGTCTCTTTCCATTGTCCCCTCTGGAAATAAACTGAGAGCTGGGAAGCTGTGAAAGAGCAAATCTAGGCTTTGTCTTTTCTAACCTGTCTTTCTACATCAGGCGCCATTGTTTCTTATCTATGTCATATTTAAAATTACTTAATCTTTTTTTTTTTTTTTTTTTTGCGGTACGCGGGCCTCTCACTCTTGTGGCCTCCCCCCATTGCCACCGGCCATGGCTCACGGGCCCAGCCGCTCCGCTGCACGTGGGATCTTCCCAGACCGGGGCACGAACCCATGTCCCCTGCATCAGCAGGTGGACTCTCAACCACTGCGCCACCAGGGAAGCCCTAAAATTACTTAATCTTGAAATTCAGTTTTCTCATCTATAAAGAGGGCAGCAGCATACAAAGAGTTCCTGATGGTTGAGAAAATTAAACGGACTAATAAGGGTGAAATACCTCGTAAATACCCAATAAAGATTCACTTCCGTCCTCACATTTGGAGACAAGAATCATCCTGAGAAAGAGCAGACTAAGTCCTGTGGCTGACCTTGAATGTCTGCTGCCCTTCTCCTCCCTCCCAGAATGACAGACTGGTGGAATCCTGCCCTCCGGAAACGCATGCTGAGTGACAGTGGGCTGGGAATGATAACTCCGTATTACGAAGAAGACTCAGATCTGAAAGATTTCAGCCACTCCCGAGTGCTACAGTAAGAGCTCTTTCTGTCTCTTGTCCTGTGTACCACTGGGGTTGCTGGGAGAGGATTCTGTGGGGTACTAGCCAATGGGAAGGATTCTCTTCTCAATGGTGCTCCAGCTGTCTCCTGATTGTGTCACCCTGTTCACCTTGCTCCCTTTTCCTCACCCCGAAGCTCCCAGTGGAGCCTCGCTTTCCATTTCTCTTGTTCCCGAGCCTCAGTGAGACCTTGCATACGGACCTACAACTACTCTGAACCTCACCAGGGTTTGCTTTACTGGAACCCAGTGTTTACCAGATGCCCCTGTGTTTGCCATACTGTGAGGACATGCATGAGAGTGACATGAGTAGTTTGGAAGTGATGCAGAGTGTTTCATTTGTGTGAAGATTGTGATGTGCTGTGACAGGTCAGTTTCATGCGTCTCCGGTTCTGAGCCTCTGGCTGTGATGTGTAATATTGCCAAGTGGTTTTGATGGCTGCGGTGCAGTCTTGTAGTCTCTCTGGGTAAATGATGCAGCATTTGTTCAAAGGTCAGGAGAGTGGGTGTGCTTTCATCTGAGGGATGGGTACTGAGTTTTGCAACAGTGTTGGTACACTCGTGTCCCGAGAATCCTCCCTCCTGTCACCCCTCCTTGCAGAAGCAGCTTCAAGGTGCACCCTGTGGTCATGGACACAGTCATGTGCACCCACTGTTTGACTCCAGTCCAGTCACCCCATCTCAGAGGTTGTATAAGTTCGTTGTAATTCGTGAGATCAGGCTGGTTCCCAGTCCGATTCAAGGTCCTAATCGAATGGGGACAGTGGCCTTGTAACTATGCAGTCTTACCATCTTTACAAAATAACAAGATGATTGAGATTCTTAGAAGTCTAGGGTTAACAGAAGAGGCAGGGCAATGCATTGTTTCTAAGACCGGAAGCAATTTCGGTGTGAAAGGGGAGGAAAAAGAGAAATCTGAAGCTAATTATTTTGGTGGTAAAGGTTCTACTCAGACACCCCAAGGGCAAAAGGTGATTTCGTTTTAATTGCTTCTCTGTACTACCTCTTATTCTGTGTGTGAAGAGTGGAAAGGAGAAAATGAATTACTATGGATTTTCCTTTTTAATTAAACCGCGTTGTTAGTTTCCGATGGCAATTTGATTGCTTACAATTCAGGGCATTTTTTTTCATTTCTTTTGTATGTGGAATTGAGGCTGGTGAACCAGGCTGAGCCAGCCACCCACTGACAGCTAAAAAAGTGACCATCTAGCTTTGGGCAGGTTTATTTGAACATTAGGGTTTTCATTAGCCATAGAAATAGAAATTAAGACTAGACAAACCAGAGGAGTGATTGAGTTATTCTTATATACAGGCTGTTTCCAAAAGTGGAAACAAAAGTTCAGGCACGTGAGCTCAATCTAGTTTCCTATGCCCTGATTTTTCTGTGTATAGTATGTTAACATATATATCATGATACGTGAGATTGTTTCTAAGACAGTTAACTATTCTTTCCAAGAATCACAGATAAATGTACCATTTTATATAATAGTCAAGTTCTGAAAACCCTTTCTCAAAATCAACTCTTATTTTTTATTCGGGTTATATTATCCTTTTAGGAATTCCTCTTCATATTTCCTTGAGCTTCCACTGGCAGCTACTAGTTTTCCTGGATATTTATACTACCTTATGCCTCAAATGCACTAGAGCAGCTGACTCCTTTTTAAAACATTTTTCTGTCAAGTAACTTAGAAAACAAACATTCACTTCTAGCTTTGAGTCTTTCCAGCTGAACCTCCAGATACTGTGTAACAGAGACAAGTTGTCCCCGCTGGGCTCTGTCTGAACCTTTGACTCACAGAATGTACGAACAAAATAAAATGGTTGCTTTAAATCATTTACATACTCTACCTTACCCAGTTTGTCTATTAATTCTGAAAATTTTTGTGTGTGTGTGTTCATTAATTCCTTTAGGAAGAACATCTCTTTATTTATTACTTCAGAGAGCATCTTTGATACACATACGTATAATTGCAGTTATAGAACAATGGAATTATGTAATACTATATATTTTATACAGATAGGTAATGTATAATAAGGTCAGTAATAGCTGGTATTGATACCTGCTACGTGCTTAGCACTATGGTTAAATTACCCTTAAATCTTTCAACAACTTTTAACTCTCACATTGCTTAACAGATGAATGAACTGAAGCTCATAGAGTTTAAAATATTCATCTTAGGTCACCCAAGATAACTGTGGTTTGAGTGAGGTCTGCTTGACTTCTGACTCTGCCATACTGCACTGTTTTCCTGAAGGGCCAGTGCAAAGGCAGGGTGCCCAGAGTCCCAGGGCCCAAGAAAGGTTTACTTTGGTATCTCTCTTTGTAAGCATTTGTAAGGTGAAAAATTCTACAGTGTAGGAAGACTACATATGCACATTAAATATGTACAGCTGCAAATTTACCCACAAGTAAATACTAATGTGCCAACAACACTGAAATATCATGTTATTGTTTTATGTCATTACTTGCATTAAATCTTTCTATCCATAGCAACATACAGTAGCATAAAAATATAGTTTTATGGGGTTTTTTGTTTTGTGTTATCTTTTTACTTTTCATCACCTGTATTGAACAGTGCATACGCTTTTAGAATTTGCCACTTCATGCAACATCAAATGTTTAAAATTCATTCACGTCGATGTTACGGAATGCAAGTCTGTGTGCCCAAGGCACAGTAAGGCCAAACAACTGAAACGTCAGAGTTTGGAGCAGAGAAAAGTTTCTTGCAGGGCCAAGCAAGGAGAATTGGTGGCTTATGCCCAAAAGACCCAAACTCCCCGAAGGGTTTCAGCAAAGCATTTTTAAAGGCAAGGTAGGGGAGAGGGGGTCTCAGGGGATGTGACCAGCTTGTGCACAGTTCTCTGATTGGTTGATGGTGATCAATTCTTAGGCACCGGAAGGTCTGTGGGGCTCCTTGCTCATGATCACCAAGTAGTTAATTTATTCCATTTGGTGGTGGTTTTAACATCTGGAAAAGTCTGGAAATATGCATCCGATACTATTATCTAGGTACTTCAGAGAGGAGCTACAGCAGAAGACATGGGGGAGGGGTCTGTCCTGGGACGGCCTCATAGAGTGCTCCTTGGTTACGTGGATGTGTGTAGATTTTAAATCATTTAATTTGGTATAGAATATTGTGTTATACAAATATGCCGTGACTTATTCCTCCATTTAGATATTGATTTCTAATATTTTATTATTTAAAAATACAGTGAACATTTTGCGTGTGTCCACCTGTGTCATAGGGTGTATATACAGTTTCAACATTTTAAAAAATTATTTATTTATTTATTTTTGGCTGCGTTGGGTCTTAGTTGCGGCTGCAGGATCTTCGTTGAGGCATGTGGGATCTATTTTTGTTGCTGTGCCCCGGTTCTTTGTTGAGGTGCATGGACTTCTCTCTAGTTGTGGCATCGCGGGCTCCAGGGCACGTGGGCCCTGTAGTTGTGGCATGCAGGCTTCTCTCTAGTTGTGGCATGTGGGTTTTCTCTCTCTGTAGTTGTGGTGCGCGGGTTTCAGAGCACATGTGCCTTGTAGTTTTGTGGCACGTGGGCTCTAGTTGAGGCACGCAGGCTCAGTGGTTGTGGTGCAGGCTCAGTTGCCCTGCGGCATGTGGGATCTTAGTTCCCCAACCAGGGATCCAACCCATGTCCTCTGCATTGGAAGGTGGAATCTTTTTTTTTTTTAATAGATGTATTTATTTATTTCTGTTTGGCTGCGTTGGGTCTTCGTTGCTGTGCGCGGGCTTTCTCTAATTGCGGCGAGCAGGGGCTACTCTTCGTTTCGGTGTGCAGGCTTCTCATTGTGGTGGCTTCCCTTGTTGTGGAGCATGGGCTCTAGGCACGCAGGCTTCAGTAGTTGTGGTGCAAGGTTTCAGTAGTTGTGTCTCGTGAGCTCTAGAGCGCAGGCTCAGTAGTTGTGGCTCACGGGCTTAGTTGCTCTGGGGCATGTAGGATCTTCCTGGACCAGGGCTCGAACCCGTGTCCCCTGCATTGGCAGGTAGACTCTTAACCACTGCCAACGGGAAGTCCCAAGAAGGTGGATTCTTTACCACCAGACCACCAGGGAAGTCCCTATACAGTTTCAACTTTGGTCCATGTTGCACAATTTACTTTCCCATTAGGAACATTTAAGAATCAGTATGTGAAGGGACCTGAAGAAGTATTGTAATATTCTAGGTACAACTATAGCATCTATTGCTTTCAGCCTTAAAGCCCCAGTCAACTTGGAGATAGTAAAAGTTCAATTTTAACATCTTGTTCACCAGGCTAAATAATTCTATAAGAAAATGAAAGGGAAATTTTAAATTCTTAGAACTGAAAATACTGTTTATCAGAATTTGCAGGAAATAACAGAAGTGGTATTCACAGAATGATTTATGACTCTAAATCATTTATTAAGAGAAAAATGATTCCATACAAATAAAGCATTCAATTTGATAAACTGGATAAAGACTCAGAGTAGAGAACAAAGAAACAAGAGTGAAGAGAAGGAATAAAGATAGAAATCAATGACAAGGGGAATAAAACAGACAAAATAAATGATTAACCAAGAATAAAATTTTTAAAAACTGGTTCTTTCGAAAGGTAAATAAGAGACAAAATTCTGAGAAGCTTAATTTTAAAATACAGGAGATAGAAAGGAATGCAACGCCAGTGCTTTTCCAGCTCATTCTTCCTCCATGGCACCCAGTCAGCATCTGCTCAAGACACCTTTCCCCTCTAAACTCTAACTGACCCAACCTACCCCCCACAGTCCCCCGGAGAGGGGAGCACGGCTCCTCAGGGTTTTCTCATAGTTTTAACTTTAGCTTCTAAGATTCATCAGCCTCCCTCCTACTTCAGGGAGAGCAGACAGAATGAACAAACAGAATGAAGTAGATTTCTGTTATTACTGGCACTGGTTACATTTATATTAAAATTCCATTTAGATACATTACAATTTTTAAAGAAAGATTTGTAGAGTCGTACCTTG